GGTCCTCCTCGCCCCTACGAATAACTAAAGACCCGCAGGTCGGGTCAGGTGGCGCCCAACGTGGGGCTCGAGGCACGGACCTCTCTGGACGGACACCCCAAGAAGAAGCAGCTGTGACATCATTGAAGAGAGAGGCAGTCGTCGACGCCCTCGACCTGCCGAACTCGGTGAGTTTTATTTTCATTCTGTCCCATAGAAATGGGCCATTCATTGTCAAAGGAGGCGAGTTTCATTAAGGGCCTCAAAGATGCACGCAGAGAAAGAGGAATTAGGGTAAAGAAAAAAGATCTCGTAAAATTTTTTATTTTTGTTGAAAAATGTCCTTGGTTTATGATTGACGGACCGACTATACATCCAAAGAAGTGGCAGAAAGTCGGACGAGAATTAAATGAGAAAATAGGCAAGGATAAAGATGAGGGAATAACAAAGACAATATTTTCTTTTGGGGGTTTAATTAGAGATGTCATTGAGGATGCTCAGGGTGATGAGTGAAAGCGCCAATTGCTTTCGGTGGCTGAATATTGTCTTAGCCAGTCTCGTCCCGGGTCGCGAAATTCTAATCGCGACCAAGATCCACCAGACACCTTGACCAATGACAAAGAAGCTGGCCCCGCCAAGGAGATTGATCCCTCTAGACTGCCCTCCCGGACATCTGACTCCTTTTCCATCTTTGATGTGTCGGTCACTTCACCTAAGTCCTCTCCTGTTCGCCTTTATCCTCCTCTGCCATCGCCCCCCCTCCTCTCTTCCTCTCCTTCGCGTCCGCCTCCATGTTCTACCCTCCGCGCCTCCCTGCCCCCCTCCCAAAGTTTCTTCTCCTCCTTTTATCGCTCCCGTCCTCCCACTGCTCCTGCCTGCTGGATTGATGCCGCTGCATCCCCCCTCTCGCTCTCTTCCCGGCTCCCCCAGCCTAATCCCTTAGATCTTCCTGACGCAGCCACCCTTGAGGAGGAGGCTGCCCGCTATCATAATCCTGATCAGCCTCCTCTGAGAACTTTGACTTTTCCCCTCATATCTAGATCAGACCTGCCAGCTTCTGTCCTCCGTTCGTGCTCACCTTTCTGATCAGCTTCGGGAATTGACTGACATTCTCCGCCTTCAGGATCAGGTCGTGCGCCTTTCAGTTCTTTGGGCACCCCAGCCTTCCTTGCGCTTGGCCTTTCTGGTTACCCGCTCCGGCCACGGGTCCTCAGACCCTACTCCGAACCCCCAGCCCTTTTCCACAACTGACCAGGGGTCCCCGCCCACCAATCCCGCACCCCCTACGGGTGACCCTCCCCAGGGCCCAGTTCATGATTCTTCGGACGAGGGTGCTGCGGACGAGGGAGAAAGTGAAAGTGATGAGGAGACACCCGCTCCCCCGGAGGCTCCCGTTCCTCCTGCACCTGCTCCCCCCGCCACAGTCTTTAAAAAGCTCCGTTTTAAACAACTCAAAGAATTGAACTCGGCGGGTCGTAATTATGGAGCCAACGCCCCCTTTACTCTGTCTCTCCTAGAAAGCCTGGGAGGCGGCGGCTATTTGACTCCTAATGAGTGGTTCTCAGTCGCCCAAGCCGTGCTGACTCGTGGCCAGTTTCTTTCCTGGCAGGCTGACTGGGCTGACCGCTGCCGCCAACAGGCTCGGAGCAATCTCTCCTCAGGCCACCCCCCCCCCCCCGCTTCGAGGTGGACTCTCGATAAACTTTTTGGGAGGGGCAAGTATGCCACAGATCAGAGGCAACAGAAATTCTCTTTGGGTCTCCTGGCCCAAAGTTCTTCGGCCACCATGAGTGCCTGGAGAGCGAAACCTATGAAGGGCTCAGTACTTTCCCCTTTAACGAAAATTACTCAGGGGACTAATGAAGAGTTCTCAGAATTCATTGCTCGCCTCCTAGAGGCAGCAGAGAGAACTTGGGGAGCTGGTCAGGAGAACAATAAACTCCTCTTGCAACTGGCTTATGAGAACGCCAATTCAGCATGCAGGACCACCCTTAGAGGCAAGTATAAGGACAAAGACCTAGATGAAATGATTAAACTCTGCAAAGATGTAGACCCTTTCGCTCAGAAGTTCTCTCAGTCCATAAATCTGGCTGTGGGAGCTGCTACTGGCGCCGCCCAGAATCACACATCCTGCTTTCGGTGCGGCCAAACTGGCCTCTTTGCTCGCCAGTGCCCCTCAGATAGATCCCTCCCCCAAGCAGGAAGAGAGCGCCCTTTGCCTTCTGCCCTCTGCCCTCTGCCCTCGCTGCAGGCTGGGTAGACACTGGGCTAATACCTGCCTGCTTGGGCCCAGGATGCTTCCCCCTAGAGATCTTATTCCTGTTTGCAATCAAACCTTCACTATCAATACAACCTATTTGTATGTGGTTGAGCCTAATAATACCCTCTTCGCTTGCTCTAACGGACTGACCGCTTACGTCTCCACCTCCAGATTTCTTTCCCATGATTATTGTGTTGTTGTCACCGTCCTCCCTCAATTTTTTGTTTATGAGCCCGAGTCCTTCCTACGCTTCTTTGAATCCGGGGTCCCACACAGAGACAAGAGAGAGCCTCTGACTGCGCTCACTTTCTCGGTCATCTTGGGTCTGGGTGCGGTCGGGGCAGGAACGGGTATTGCGTCCCTTGTAAAGAATGACCAAAATTTTGCCCACCTTCAGTCCTTAATCGATCAGGACCTTGGTCACCTGAGAGAGGGCATCCAAGACCTCACTGAGTCAGTGGCCTCCCTTTCCGAGGTGGTCCTCCAAAACCGACGAGGACTTGACCTACTCTTTTTAAAGGAGGAGGGATTGTGTGTGGCCCTTAGAGAAGAGTGTTGCTTTTACTCAGATAAGACAGGTTTGGTAAAAAACAGTTTAGAGAAAGTTAAAAAGAGCCTTGAAGAAAGAGAGCAAGAGAACAACAAGAATCTTGGTACAAAAATTGGTTTTCCACCTCCCCTTGGCTTACTACCCTGCTGCCCACTATATTGGGGCCCCTTGTTGGCATTCTTTTGCTTCTCTCCTTTAGCCCTTGGGCTTTTAATCGTCTCACAAGTTTTGTTAAAAATCAGATAGATTCCACAGTTAAAAGACCAATTGAAATCCACTACCATCAGCTGAAAACAGAGGACGACACTGAGCCTGTTGCCCATGTGGTGGTGACACAGCCTGAAGATGAAGATGTGGGGCCCGTGCGCTCCTCCTTTGGCCGGCCTCTTAACCTTCCGGCCCTACAGGGGAGCTCCCAGTTCTCTTGGCTGACCTTCCTTATCCCTAGATAATTAGAGACAGGCGTCTCTGCCCCCCCCCCTTGTTTAATTGGCTTGCCCCTGTTACTGCTTGAAAGAACCTCCCGATAGCTGCCCCAACAGCTGCGTCCCGGCCTTGGCTTAGCTACATCCCTGCCTTGGCCTAACAGCAAGCCTGACACTAAACAGGTCGCGATCTCATAGCCCCTGCACCCTGAGGACTTGCTTCCATTGCACCAGGAGTGGGTAGGAGGATCGCAAGGGGACCAGCTCTTGCACCTCACCGGCCTTAGCTGCCATTGCACGTGAGAGAGTGGTCTCCCCTTCTCCTTCACGACCACGAACTTGGTCTTGACAGACAGCCAAGACTGTCTACCGACAGTGCCTCTCAATGGCCTTGCTGCCCTTCTGGGACCGTGAGCCGCCTACGGCCGGGATGCCCTCCCAAATTCACCCATCCTTGAGTTTCTTCCTCTAAAAGACGCCCTCTTTAGTTTACAGGGAAGGGGGAGATGCCAGAGACCAGGACCCCTAACAGGGACCCCTGCCGGCCTTCCCCCCTCGCCTGGAAACCAAAGCCTTGTCACCCACCTACATCCTGTTTGGTTGAACATCTTGACTATGCCTCATCCTGCTGAGAGCTGATGCTCGAAGAGACAGCTACTTCTGAGAAAAGCCCCTAACCACAAAATGTTCTAGGGCACAGGCCAAGAAGAAGCTGTACGTTTCCATTACCCCACCTGCCTTCCCCCTCCCCTGACCCCAGCTTACTATAAAAGTATGCCTATTTTCAAACTACACGGCTCTTGACAAGCAACCGTTTGCTTGGGTCCTTCTTTTCTCTTGCCTGTTTCTCTTTCAGGTTGTGGTCCTCCTCGCCCCTACGAATAACTAAAGACCCGCAGGTCGGGTCACACAAGATTACAATTGGTAAAGTCACTGAATTGATGAATTCTCAATATACAACACAGATACGGAACACGTCAGTACATGTATGTGTAGAGAAGTATATTTATCCAAATAGTGCATCAGATTTAAATCACTAGTAATTTTCAACATATACAAATGATATAGATATTAACAGGTCAATTTGCACTGCAATGTTAGTAAGCAGACATCTGTTTTCTAACTACATCAACTGAGAGAACCTGAGACCAATAATGCTGTAAGAACAATAAATACATTGAGTATATACATTGTTCTCTAAATATTGTTGTATAAAAGAAAATATAGCTCCTTGGAGAAAATCATTCTATTGCAGATCACCAATGAGTCACGAATATAGTCAGTGTAAAAAGTAAAAAAAAAAAAAAAAAAGCTTTGAAAACGATAGAAACAGAGACTATAAACGGTCAGATTAATGAGGTACCATCAGCCACACAGCAACATAGTATGAACATTAAAATAAATGAAGATTCTATTAAAATAAAAATAAATGGGACTGTGACTCACAGGCCAGAGTGCTTGCTTTAACATCACAAGAACCGAGTTTGATTCCCCAGAGTCAAAACAAGGCATGGTGGTTGATACTTATAATCCCAACATTCAAGAAAGATGCAGAAGGATCACAAGTCCAAGGTCATGGGCAAAAGAGGTGGTTAATAGTTAAGAATACGTGCTGCTCTTACAAATGACCCAGGCTCAATTCTCAGCACCCACATAAATCAGCTCACAACCACCTGTAACTGCAGTTCCAGAAAATCCAAGACACTGCTCTGGTCTCCATGAGCACAAAACATACATGGTGCACAAACAAGCAGGCATATACACATAAGTTACAGTAAATAAATCAAAATAAGTTTTTCTTTTAATGAAGTGTGGGTTCATCCTTAGTTAACTGGCATACAAAAGTAGCCTGGTATACATGTGACTCTGTTTAATAAAACAAAATAAGATAGCATGACATTAAGTCCACACTATAATTGGGCTTTTTATAATAACAGAATGCAAGCTGAAAAATATAAAAGAAATTTAAAAATGAGCCATGAATCCCAGCAGTAAATTAAAGTTACGGATGCCAAGATGAGGAAAGGGCAGCCCAGAGAACAAAGTGCCCACAGGCAGTGCTGCCCCACAGCAGGTACTGGATCCAAGAGGATACAGCAGCCAACAAGGGGAAGAGAAAACTGACAGATGGCACTTCAACTAACGATGAAAGTAACATTGTAAGGAATCAGAAAAACTGGAATCAGTGTGCCACCTGATAAGATGCAATGAGAGAAACTCAGAATCACTTCTATGACATTCTTTACAAAAATTAAAAAAAAAATAAATCTCATAAATCTCATCCACTAAACTGGAGCAAACATCAAATCCAAATTAGAATGCTATTCTACAAAATAATTAAAGACTACAATACTCTAAGTATCAAACTGGCAAAAGGAAAGGAAAGATTAAGTTAACTATTTGAGATAAATAAATATTTGAGATAAATGAGAAGACATAGAGAGGCTGGCAGACACGTAATAATAACACACCACTGACTTTGATAGTTATTTTACAAATATATGAGCATCTTCGTTTACACTTATTTACTTTATTACATTTATTTAATTTGCTCTGTAGTGCTAGAGGCACTGAACTGAGGACCTGGCATATACCAGGAGACCCTACCCTACCAGAACTACTTATTGTAGGCCAAAACCTGCCCTTCTGATAGAGAGGTAGAGTTTGGCTTAAAAAAGAAAAACTCTGTACTTCTCTCTGAGCCTGTAAATAAACTTGATGTTATTTCAGAATTTACATAGAAAACTCATTTTAAAATGAATTTTAAAGGTACTACAAAATAAAGATTTAAGATTGCTTGCTGTGCAACTATAAGGACCCAAGTTTGGATCCTAGCACCCACATGACAAGTCTGGCGTGGTCCTGTGCAGACCTTTAACCCAGCACTGCTGAGAGTGGACAGGAGGATTGCTAGGGCTTGCTACACACCAACCTAGCCAAAAAAGAAAAACAAACAAACAAACAAACAAAGTTTGTTTCCCCATAAGTTTCCCTCAGTGAGAGACCCTGTCTCAAAGAACAATGTGGAAACCAATGAGGACAGCCAATGATGCCTTCTTCTGGCTTCCTTGACACGCATCTGCACATACATGTACATAAATACCCGAACACAAAAATTAAAAATTTTTAAATTTAAAATTACTAAAAAATATATGCACTTCCAGAAAGAAAGCTATTCTGTGAATAACATCTGGCAAACACCTGTAATCCCAACCCTCTGGAGGTTGAAGCAGGAAGATCAAAAACTCAAGGTCACCCCCTGCTGCTTGGCAAGACTGAAGCCTGCTGGGATATAAGAGAGCCTGTCTCCACAAAATAAAAAAAACCCAAAACATAACCCTCAGAAGCAAACACACACACACAAAAAAGGACAACAACAACAACAACAACAAAAAAAAACCCAAAAACAAAACACAAAACACTTTGAAGAAATAATGTTATAATAAAAACAAGGTCAATTAATCAACCTGGAAAAAAAAAAAAGAAAACTGAGAAAAGAACTTACAAACAACAGCTCTGGGACTGGAGAGAGAGTCCAGTGGTTAAGATGACCCAGGTTCAATTCCCAACACCATATGACAGCTCACAATTGTTTGTAACTCCAAGATCTGACACCCTCACCCAGACATACATTCAGGCCAAACATGAGTGCACTTAAAAAAAAAAAAAACAACTAAACAAAACCAGTAATCTTAATGCTAATTAAATCATGCTTAACATGATAATCACTTAAGAACTGCTCACATTCGCCTAGCAGTGGTGGCCTTTAGCCCCAGCACTTGGGAGGCAGAAGCAAGCGGATTTCTGAGTTCCAGGCCAGCCTGGTCTACAGAGTGAGTTCCAGGTCAGCCAGGGCTACACAGAGAAACCATGTCTCAGAAAAAGAAAAAGAGGGGGGGAAAAAAAAAAAAAGAACTACTCACATTCTAAAGAAAAACTTCACACAATAATCAAACTTCCAAAATATGTATACCCTTTTTACATGGATCCTAACAGTATGAAAACTAGGTAACACATGAGCACCATCCACAAGAGGCTGCTCCACCGGTAACTGAATCTAACAATACTCTATGATACACTAAGAATCCACGAAAGTCATGGTAGAAATATCATTTATTGACACAAAAATATACTCAGCATTATTCAGTTTCAAAAGCAGAGAAAACAATAAGTAATATGATCTAAATGTTTAATAAGCATGTATATGAGATAAAAAATACACAAAAGTCAAAAGATTTAAATAGGAAGACTTATTTCTCCACATTATCAATGTTTTAAATAATTACTTAATCAAAAAGATTATTGTTAACATATCTGAAATCTGAAAACTAACTATAATGACATTCTTCCACAGAAGTGACATGTATTTCCTTTCACACAGTAAGAGTGTCTGAAAACACTGGATAACAGGAAAGCCTTGACAACTCAGTAGCAGCAACAAACAACAATGTGATCAAACAAATGGTTAAGTGTTTCTATTTTAAAACACAGGGTAAAGAAAGGATGGGTGGATGGATGGAGATGGATGGATAGATAGATAGATAGATAGATAGATGATAGAAAAGATATAAAGTGAGCATAGGGTCTTGGTATATTATCTAGGTAGGCCCTAAACTCCCAAATTCAACTCATCCTCCTGCCTTGAGATTACTGACAAGAAATAATGACTAATTCAAATCTAATAAGATCTTGGCACTTTTTTAGGCAAGAGGTCAGTAAATCTTCAAAGACAAATGTATACTGAGTAATTAAAATGTTCTGAAAACATTAATATAACACCTAAATTCAAATAAAAGAGACAAGTTTGTTGACGGTGTTTTACACTCTTGTGTAATTATTTTAATACTATAGCTCAAGGTGGCAACTATTTTTCTCAAAATGTCTATGAAATAGGAGAAAGGTCTTTTAAGAAATAAAACAAAACAAAAACAAAAGACCCCACCTCTTTTCTATCTCCTAGTTTCAGAACCAAAAATGCAAACATTAAGAGGACATCCACTGTACCTTATTATAACGATCATGTGGGACAGACTGTAAAACGATTGGCTCCATTGTAGAAACATTGGCAAATTGTACCTCTGGAATATAGAGGGCACAAACCACATGAGCCCAACCTAAAAATAAATAAATACACAATGTCATTCTTCAAGTTTTATCAAAAATAAAATTACTACCTATCTTAAGATCACTTAAAATGACTATTTAAGCAAAACCGTAATAAAAACCTGGCTACTGCATTATTTATGTAATAATTGCATCCACTCACTACTGGTACAAAGGGTTCCTAATCATGGCTGCATCTATTATGCACTCAAGATAAACAAACAGAGCACTTAGGAATTCAGGTGCTGACATTGATACTTAAGGACAGACTAAATTCATACTAACACTACTTCTGAAACCTACTTTAATTTGAAGAAAGCAGGATGATAGTTCCCAGCACTCTAGATACTCTGAGACTAAACCAAAAGGAGGTTCTCCATTTCCAGGTCAGCCAACAATACATAATGAAGATCAGACTACACTATGGAGCCAGAACTAAATAAATATATAAATAGTGTGAAGGAGATATATATATAATTCAGTAGGTAGTAGTGTCCCTGAATACTGTGTGAAGCTCTAGGTTCCATTCTCAGTTCTGCAATCATTTATACTTAAAACTTCAGGTCTCAAAGGCTGGAGAAGCAGTGCAACTCCAGAGCACTCACCTAGGAGCCACAAAAGGAGACACAAGGAAGGAAAGGGCTGGATCTAGTCTCACCATCAAGAACAAAAAGGAGGAAAAGAGATTTTAATATGCTTAATCTTACTAATCTTAAATGTGACGGTATTAGTTTTTATATTGTCAATATTTTGAATGTTCATATAATTAATGGCTGCCATATTTCTATTTTAAACCTTCATCTGAACTATTACCAGTTGATGTTAAAGTTTCTTTTGATTATAAAAGATGTGACTGAGGGCTGGAGAGATGGCTCAGAAGTTAAGAGCACTGACTGCTCTTCCAGAGGTCCTGAGTTCAAGTCCCAGCAACCACAAGGTGGCTCACAACCATCTATAATGAGATCCAATGCCCTCTTCTGATGTGTCTGAGGACAGCAAGACATTGTACTCACAATAAATAAATAAATAAATAAATAAATAAATAAATAAATCTTTAAAGAGAGTGTGACTGAGGCAGCTAAAAAGCGCATGCAGCACTAAAAAGTTGCTGGTAAACTGGAAAAAGTTGAAATCCCAGGAAGGTGAGGGACAGCATGGAGAAAGACAAGTAGAATCACTGACAGTCTCGAAGTTAGGACTAAAAACTAATATACCATGGATCTCAGAAAGATCACACCTAGGCTTTAATCATCTTAAACTCAATGAACAAAGCAAGCCTAAAAAGGAAGCACCTCTGCATTAAAATATATCCTGTACGTCATCTCTCACAACTCAAGTCACAGATAATCTCCGTAAGTCATTAATTAGAAATTTCCAGAATAAAAAGTACTAAATACATCATGACACAAATGAAATCCCACAAATTAAGAAAATCAGAACAAACCTATAATTGAGGTATCACAAAGTAAGTATGTTTATTATAATCAAATATATGTAAATAAAGAAAGATGGCTCAAGTGTAAAAGGTGTTGCAAATCACCACAAGCAAACAAACAAAAGGTACTTTCAAACACCAAAGAAAGCATCATGTCCCTCAAAAATGAAAAATTATTACAAAATGAAGCTTGAATTGGGGACAGAGGAGGGAGACGTGTGTGTATATATAGTTACTTACAATGGATACTGGCCATAAATATTAAGTACTTATACACAGGCTGGATGTGCTGCTGGTGCACGCCTTTAATCCCAACACATGGGAGACAGAGGCAGGCAGATCTCTGTGATCTTTATTCTAGTCTACAAACTGAGTTCCAGGCCAGCCAGCCTAGAACTACGAGACAGGTCAAAACAAACAAACAAACAAACAAACAAACAAACAAAACAAAAACAAATCCACAAAGCCAGCCAAGCAGCTTGGGAGGCAGAGGCAAGAGGATCTCTAAGTTTGAAGCTAGCCTGGTCTACAGAATGAGTTCCGGGACAGCCAGGGCTATACAGAGAAACCCTGTCTCAAAAAACAAAAACAAAACAAAACAACAACAACAAAAAAGCACAAAGACTGGATGGAACAGCAGTTCAGTGGTTAAGAGCACTTCCTGCTCTGGCAGACAACCCTAGTTTAGTGCCTAGAACCCACATGACAGCTCACAACTGTTCTTACCTCCAGGAATTGAACACCTTCCTCTGATCTCTGCAGGTACCAAGTATGTATATGGTTATGTGTATGTACACACTTGCAGGCAAAACATACACATAAAGTACAATACACATAAAATAAAAAGAAAAAAACCTTTCAAATAAGAAAAATTATAAAACACTGCCAGGTGAACTGGCCTTGAATTGAGAGATGAAGGTGAGAGCAAGTCTACAGGAAGCAAGGAAGGGAGGGAGAAAGAAGGAGGAAGAAAGGAAAACTGAGAATTATTGCCACAAAAGTAAGGATTAAATACACTGATCCAAATTAACCTAACAAATATAAGATGTTTCTAAAAACCTTAACCGTATCTCAGACAAAGCTTAGAAATATTTAAAAGGGTCATGGTGAGGCATCACAGTGATGATCCATCACTAAAGAGGCTAAGGTAGAAAGCACAGGAGCCTAGGCCATGAGACTACATATAAAAATATAAGCATATGTACACATACACATAAGATGTAAAATATCCATATTTATACCAACAAAAAATGGTAAAGGAAGCAGGTGTAAGGGTAGGTACCACACCAGAAACAACAAAAAGTACATAGAAATTGTTAAATTCTCTTATTAAACTCTGGAAAACAGTGAAAGGTTTGCCACAACCAAGGACCTATTAAACTAAGGGGGAAAAAAAAAGATGGAACTCTTTGGAATCTTTCTTTTCCTTAATATATGAATGCTTTAAGTCAGAAGGTCTTAAATACAACTGAGTTTACAGTGTAGAAAGACTCTAGTCTCTGCTGGCCGAAGAACCAGAACCAAGTTTTAAGAACAAAAAATTATGTCTGTCAATTCTTCAAAGGGTCTGAAAACTAACCAAGGACTGCGATGTGCCTGTCTGAGTTCATCCAAGAGAGAAAGCAGCCCTTAAATTCAACCCACAGATGCCTGGAGAAAAAGAATATAGGTGACACATATGACAGCACCAAAAGACTAGGAAGGAAAACTAAAGAGTCTCTGGCAACCTGGTGCATTTGAAAACATCTGGATGTGCTAGAGGACGTGGAGAGTCACAGACCTGCCTTAAGGCAGAACTCATCTTCTAAATTTAAGACCTAAGAAGACCCTCAATTGAACTCTGGCTAGAATCTAGGTATGGTACAAATAAGAAGAGAGAGGAAAGGAAGAGCAGAAGATAAACTGGATAAAACATAGAAAATACAAACACAAATACATGATGTTTCTTCTGTAATTGCCCTCCCCCCTCACTATTTTACACTACATGCTCAAGGAAATAAATCATCAAAACACTCATTGAAGACTCATTCATCAAGTATAACAAAAATATACAAGTCAATAAAAACAAAAACACAGCAAGCAGCAAAACCTAAACCTTAAAAGGCAGAACTTTACTCCAGAATTAACCCATTATAACATTTAATTATATACGGTTTTTGGTTTTTACCGTGCCTAGGATAGATCTCAAAGCATAGCACCCTACAACTCAACTACAGCCCCAATACATTCATTCTAAAATAAGTTTAAAGGTTATAAGGACAACATGCAGCCCCAGGAAAGATAGTTCAGTAGGTAAAGTGCTTGCAATGTAAACAGAAAGACTTGAATTGAGATCCCCAGTGCCCACATAAATCACAAGGTGTGGCAACACAAGGGTGTATTGTGCTGAAAAACCGAAAGGACAGAGTTGCTATTAACAGTCAGTCTAGCAAATCAATGAATCCCAGGTCCATGAGATACCCTGTAGTAAAAAATAAGGTAGATAGAGGAAGACGAGTATTTAACATCAACCTCTAGGCTTCACATGCGTACATACACAAGCACACACATACACACATACACTCACACACACAAACATTGTTTAAGTATGGCTCATTCACAGGAAATATTAATAGAAACTCTTCATACAGAAGTATAACTGGATTTTTAAGTAAAGACCTCAAGTGAACTATCTTACATGTGCACAAAGAATTACATATTGATGAAGAAATAGAAATTATTAAAAAGAATCAAACAAAATCTTGCCTGGCAGTAGTGGTGCATCCCTTTAATCCCAGTAGTTGAGAGGCAGAAGCAGGAAAATCTGAGTTCCAGGCCAGCCTAGTCTTACAGAGAGAGTTATAGAACAGCCAAGGCATCACAAAGAATCTTGAAAAAAAAAAATTTAAGAGAAGAGAAAGAAGAGGAGGAAGAAGAAGAGGAAGAGAGACTACTAACTGTATTTTCAGCTGACAGTACAGTTAGACATAACATTTTGGTAAATGACAGACACTCCATAGATACAACCATGTTCCCATAAGATTAGAAAGGCAAAATTTTCCAGCCATTACAAATCCCTGCATACTACATTATTAACATGTTTACAGTAATGCTGGTCTGAACAAACTTACTATGCTAGCATTCAATATGCTATCCACATGCAGCTGTATATGTACATAACAATATTTAGTAGTAATAACAGAAAATTATGCTACTGGCTAATATATGTACTGTTTTTAGCTATTTTAATTTTTATGCCTTCTATTTGCTTTTAAAAGCAAAATATGTTAACTATCCATTCAACCAGGTCGTTAAAAAGGTATCTAAAAGGCACTGTTACTACAAGTCCTAATAGCTCCATGTTTCTTTTGTAGTAGTGATTTCTTGTGCTTTGGGGTTTGATTTGCTTTGGTTTGGTTTTTTGCAGTACTAAAGACTGAATTCACCTTCTCACTCATGCTAGGTAAGTGCTCATCAACAAGCTACATTCTCAGTCCATGCATATGTCTGCCCTGAAGACATTTCAAGGAGATGGTACGTGAAGGTAAGATATTCTGATATCCATGACTTAAACGAATAAGGCTAATGTGTGTTGTTTCTAAGTGTCTAACAAAAAAAACTTAAAAGGTTTAAGAAAAAGAGAGAAGATATAAGATAGGTGAGGTAGCACACAACTTCAATGCCAGCACTTAAAAAGAAAGAGGCAGGAGTATCTCTCAGTTTGAGGCAAGCCTGGTCTGTACAGAATTCCAGGTCAACGAGGGCAAGACCCAGTCTCTCTCTCTTTTTTGTTTTTTTTGTTTTTTTTTTTTTAAAAAAAAAAAGACCTTTTACTCTGGTGGTGATGGCAAGTGCTTTTAATCCATCAGATTCCTTGAAGAAGCAGGCCTGAACTCAGGGCCAGCTGGTCTACAGAATGAGTTTTAGGACAGCCAGGGTTACACAGAGAAATCCTGTCTTAAAAAACGAAACCCAGAATATCTTCCTGTCTTAGATCTTCACATTCCCTTACCACTGACTTCAGTTACTCACCAAAGACAACTTCAAGTCTCACAAACTTCACTAAGCACCTTGTTCAGCTATTTATTATACATTTTCTTTCTTTAGATTTTTAACAATTTACCACTGTGTTGTATTTACATTTTATTCAGTAATATAGCAATATGACGTGTGTTTATAACCTAGAGGGAATAAGCTATATTCATATAATTTATGTATGTAGTAGACTATACGTCTAGGTTTCTATAAATACACTCGCTCTATGATGTTTACTCAGTAAGAAAAGCACCTATGACACATTTCTGAGAATTTAACCAGTTTATGACCACATGTAAACAGTTAAATAATCAACTTTTACCAATAGTTTTAAAACTAGAGAAAGCAATAAAGTGCCAAAGTTTACAAGTGAAACAAACCAACAAAATAGAAAATTTTAAATTATTTAATCACTAAATTATTCAAATTGATAATCTTAAAACTCAGGATGTATTTCTCAGTTATTCCTACCAAATATTTAAAGATTATAAAATTCCAGCTTTACAGAAATATCTTCAGAAAAAGAGTATTTCCAAATTTGTTATAATGCCACCATAACACTAATACCAAAAGCTAAAAAGAATATAAAAAAGGAAGTCACTGTTTTAATCCCTTATAAACAGGTACCAACTTCTTTATTCATTTACCCTCCAGAAATCAGTCTCTTCAAAAAAATGTTAACTAAATGAATCTCATTATTTTAGGAAAATAGGCTGATTTTACTTCCAAAACTAAGCCAGTGAAATTCCTAACAAAATAAGGGAGAAATACTTTATGACCATCTTAACAGGAAAGAGAGAGGGAGAGGGAGATGGAGAGGGGAAGGGGGAGGGGGAGGGGAGGGGGGGGGGGGGGGGGGGGGGGGAGGGAGAGGGAGGGAGGGAGAGAGAGAGAAAACACCTATCATCTTTCTTGATACTTTATCAGTCAGTTAATTTTTATAGTTTAACAAGCTCATGTCTATATGGTAAGAATGATATTGATATACAAAGGATAAGTATCCTTTAACCCAGCCAATTATTGATAGTCCTGTAATCCTAGAACTCATGAAGCAGAGGTAGAAAACTCCCACACATTTAGGCCAGGCTGGGATACGCAGAAAATGCTACGCCCCGAGTTATACACATGGAAAAAAAGGACTAGAGAGGAAAGGACCAAAACAAAAACAGATAGAAGAAAGGCAGGGGGAGAGAAGCAGACACATTTCTCAAGGAAAGGCAACTCAAAGTGAAGATGAAAACTAAAAATGGGGCAATCCTCATAATTGGAACCATAAGATATTTTTCTCAACATTTACAGTGATTTTATCATCTAAGCATCTCTAATCCAAAAACTCAAAATTTGAAACTAGTGTTCAAAAGGTGTTAGGTTTTCGTATTTCAGATTCAGAATTTTCAGAAGAGGAAATGCTCAGAATCCTCAGGAAAGAACACATCCTGCCAAGTATAGTTGGTACTGTAAGCTAGCACTTAGGAGGGACATAGTAGTAAGGATACTCTGCCAGGTAAGGTTGGTTCTATAACCCTAGCACCTAGGACACAGTAATAAGGCCCTGTCTCCAAAAAGCAACAACAAAAACAAAGGAGGTGTGGTGGCATACACCTTAATCCCAGCACTCAGGAGATAGAGACAGATTTCTGTGAGTCTGGAGGCCAGCCTGATCTATATAATGAGTTCCAGGATAGCCAGGAATACATAGTGAGAACCTGTCTCAAAACATAAATCAAGGTTGAGTAGAAGAATGTGGATCATTCTACATAAAACAGCCAATACTTAAGTTTGTCCACAATGAAGAGAAACTGTGAATTCTTAAAATTATTTAAACTACACATAAATGTGTCCACCTACAATCCTAGACCATGAAACAATGAAGCAAGAAGATGGTGAATTCAGGTTAGCCTGGACCACATAGTGAGACCTCATCTCCAATTAATTAACTATATCACTATTAACATTTTAGCAAACAATACTTAATAAAATAATATGAACTACCAAATAGTTTGAAATGCTATACCATTCCAGTTTTCAGCATTTTTTTCAAAAACTGTACTTACCCCCATTATCTGTTCTTTTTAAAGCTCCATCTTTATGGGGACACAGCTCACATCTCTATTTAAAGAAAATTAAAAGTAAAAAAAAAAAAAAGGAAAAGGCAATGAAGTTTTTTTTCAGATCACCAAAACCACATCTTCCCTATAACTTCAAAACTAACAAAAATAAAATACCATTTCTATTCATTGCCACCAAGAGAATTCCAGAACACTTTTCACAAAATAACTGTTAACTGCAAATTACTTGCTTTTAAAAGATTCATTTTTATTTTGTTTGAATGTTTTACATGTATGTATAGGTATGCATGCATGCATACCACATGTTTGTGGTTATCTGTGGAAGCCAGAAGAGGGCGGCAGATCCCCCCCCTCCCCCGTTACTGGAACTATGGATGGCTGTGATCTATCATGTGATTGCTGAAAACCTAACCTAGGTCCTCTGCAAAAACAGCAAGTGCTTTTAAGAACTACTAAGCCATCTTTCTGTCCTTTAAAATAACTTAATGATTTTTCTTTTAATATTAGATAACAATTTACACACATATTAAAAATCCTGCAGCCCCCTCCCCTTTTTAAGTTTACATTAAAATCAGGCACAGTGGCCCTTGCCTGTCATCCCAATACTTGGGAAATTCAGCTAGTAGTACTTTTCCATGAACTGAAGCCATTTGGGCTACACAAACAAGCAAAGCCCTAAATTTCCTATTAATAAAACCAAAGTCAAATGTGGTAGCAGATATTTAGAGTAAAAGAATTCTTGGGATGTTGAAGCACAAATATCAATAGTCTAAGAGTTTGAAACCATCCCAGAAAAAAATGCAAGACCTTACTCGGAGAGGGGCAAAATATGGGTATGGTAGCAAGTACCAATATCTCATCACTCAGGAGGCTGAAAGGATTATCATGCTCAAGGCTAACATGAAGTACTACTATGAGAGACCACCTAAAAGCCTTTTCAACACAGGCCAGATACAAGGTTTTGACATTTATGAAGATCTCTGTGATCTCTAATACAGGACTGAATTACTGTAGTCAAGTAGGTCTGGTTTCTACTACCATCAAGAACCAGCTTGACAGGTGGGAGAGGGCTCAGCAATACAGATCACTGCTCTTCCAAAGAATCCAAGTTAGGTTCCAAGCACCCACATCAGGTGACTCAAGAATGTCTCTTAACTCCTGGCTCTAGGGGATGGGATGTAACATTTTCTTCTGGTCTCTCCAGGCACATGTGTGCACGGACTCACACATATACATGCACACTCATATACACACAAAAATGGCATACACACGGCTATACATAAATAAAAATAAATCTTAAAATACATTTTTTTCTTTTAAAATCAGCTTGCTGAGCATGGTGATACATATTTGGGAGGCAGAAATGAATAGCTTGAGTTCAACCCCAGCTTGGTCAATATAGCAAGTTCCAAGCCATCCAGTACTACATAGTAAGACCCAGTCTAGACATAAGGGGAAAGTAAGGTACAGGGCCAGTTTTACTGGACCTCAACTATAATACCAACACTTAAAAGGTAGAGGCAAGAGGAATTCAAAATTATCCTCAGCTACATAGTAAATCTGAGGCCAGCCTGGGCTACGTTACATAAAGGCCTACCTCAAAATTTAAGAAATGAATTACTATCAGCTGAACTATATCATACTTTTTTTTAAATTAATAACAGTAGAACACACATAACTGCTAACTAAATGAGATGCATGGTGGATAAAAATAAAAAACATCTAGAATCTATACTAGTGAAGACTTAGTATAGAGAAGAACTAGCATGAAAGTTTAGAATTTCTTTTTACTATGTTACCCTGAAAATAAGACAAAGCCAACTCTTAGAGGCTCCTAATACCTAAGAACCACAACAGAGCATTCAGAAGAACTTTGGTGTCTGTAATGTAAGATCTGAATCCCAAACGGGGCAAACTGAGGAGAGAGAACCCTACTTTTAAATACATCATCAACCCAAATCTTTTGTTGACCTTACATCACATATATACAGGGCAATCCACCAGGCCAGCTTAAGGAGCTGGGACATTTAAAACAGGTATTCAAAATAATACAAGATGGTTTGAATCCAAAAAATCAACCAACTCTGATTTATAAAAATGTCAATTTCAGGGCTAGGAGACATCTATCTCAGTGGGTAAAGAGCATGTAAGCTGAATACTGAGGACCCACAGAACAGTCAAGGTTCTCCTCTCTACCTCCACATGTGCATCCTGGCATGCATATGCCTGAGCTTCTACACACACAGATACATACAAATAAAAACAATTTCATGTTTTTGATTTTTTTAAACAGGGTCTTGTGCAAATGCCTGTCATATCTTGAAAGTCTGGTCTTCCTGTCTCTACTTTCTAGTGCTAGCATGACAGGCAGGCTCCTGTTCCATTGTGCTTGTTCTCTGAAGTGCTAGGGGAATGACTAGATAATGACCACTAAACTACATTCCTACTCCACCCCAAAAAACCCGCTCCTTCAAAGAAATACAATAGAACATGGCCTTTTCAACAAATAAGATAATGTTTGTGAGATGATCTACATTACTTGACCTGTAAAGAAGTAGGAAAAAAAGGCTAAAAAACGCTAAGCATTATCAAAACAAAAGGATATTGATGTCAATTCCGAGATTACCCAGACTTTGGATTTGGAGGTAGCAGATTTGCTGCCAACCTGGTCTACATGTTGAGCTCCAGCATAGCCAGGGATATACAGTGAAACTATCTAAACAAATTAAATAAATAAAATACACATGAAATAGAATGAAAATGTACCTGTAATAAATAAGATGGGAAATACCAACAAAGGAAAAGTTACTAACTGAATGGAGTTAAAGATATAGAAATGTAGCTTAGTGCCTTTACAAGGTTCTGAGAAATAAAAAACAAAAACAATTTGTAAATCAAGCCTGGCCCTGTACCACAGAGGATACAAAATCAGGATTGTGCCAAGTTCAGGCCAGCCAATACTATATGGAGATCCTGTCTCAAAACAAAGCTAGACGTGCTGTAACTGGACTGTGAAGAGCTGCCTAACATGTCAGGTTCTGGGTTTAGCTGTTCAGCATTGTAAAAACTAGCAAGCACTGCTGACTAACGAGGGGAGATGGAAGAAGGGAGAGAGAACTACAATATGCAGAAAAAAGAAATGTTCAGAGACTCAAAACCAAACAGAAAGGAGGCTCAATGACACACAGTAGTGCATACGTGTGCTCTCCACACAGAAAGACAGACAAGAGGACTACAGAGAGCTCAAGTCCAGTTGACTCTACAAAGAGAACATTCCAAGGGAGCAAGGGCTACACAGGAAAACCTGTCTCAAAACAGTAAACCAGAAGGGGGTTGCGGGGGGTTGGGGGGAGACCCCAACAATAAATGTGACAAAGTATTGAAAGAAAAAGCATGGCCTGGCGGTGGTGACGCACACCTTTAATCCCAGCACTTGGGAGGCAGAGGCAGGTGGATTTCTGAGTTCGAGGCCAGCCTGGTCTGCAGAGTGAGTTCCAGGTCAGCCAGGGCTGCACAGAGAAACCCTGTCTCGAAAAACCAAAAAAAAAAAAAAAAGAAAAGAAAAAGCACTCACTGTCAACACAAAATTATATATTCATATATGCAATCTATATCTGCAAATAACCAACTGTAATGGCCAATCACCCAGAAGGCTCTAGCACAGCTATGGTAGTATCTGTGAGGTAAGAATTCTCAAACAGGTGAGCCACCCTACACTAGGTAATTGCAGGCCTGAGTTATATATGTGAAGAAAAAAAATATCCAACATTCCTGGTTCTTCTTTCTGTTCAACACTTATCTCACAAACACATAGTTAACATTAAATTAGTAAGGAGAATTCGTCAGCAGCAAACATACTTTGTGAAAATAGGGAAAGACTGGCAAGACAGTTTGGCAAGCCTGGTCAGCTGAGGTCTTATTTCTGGAAACCATGTAAATATGAAAAGATAGAACTCCATAAAAATGTCCTCTGACTTCCAGATACTGTCGCATCACCACCATATGTGTCCAACACACAAATAGTAAGTAATAATAACAATGATGACAATAATAAATTGAGCCACACAAGATAGCTCAGGAGTAAAGGTGCCTGTTAACAAACCTCACAACCTGAAAAATCAAGCAAACCATGGGACCCACATTGCTAAGAGAACTGACACCCACAACAGCTGTCCTCTGACCTCCACAAGCACACTGTGGTATGTGTGTACCCACACAACACATGTTCAATGGATGGATGGATGGATGGATGGATGGACAGATAAGTAAATAAATGTGATTAAAATAAAATTTAAAAAATGGGTCTGGAAGATGTGTCAGTAAAATGGCTGCATTGCATGTAGAAGGATCTGAGTTCAGATCCCCAGTATCCCTGTGAAACAAGTTGGATGTGGCAGCACAAGTCTAGATCACAAAACTGGGGAAAGGGATCCTAGGAGCTCACTAGCAGCCAGTCTAGTGGGCTGTCCATCTTGAGGTTCAGAGAGAGACCCCCATCTCAAAAAAAATGGGTCATGCATGGTGGTGCACACCTTTAGTCCCAGCACTCAGGAGGCAGAGACAGGCAGATCTCTTAATTCAAAGCCAGCCTGGTCTACATAATGAGTTCTAGGATAGACAGAACTACATAGTGAAACCTTCTCAGAGATGGGGGGGGGGGGGGGGGAAGGAGAGAGAGAGAGACAGAGACAGAGAGAGAGAGAGAGAGTTAGTTCAATATGCCAGACATTAAGTCTTACCAGTTCATGTATACACGCAATACAAAAAAATTTTTGAAAAATTCAGAAATTGCACACTTCAAATGTTTGAACTGTATAGTTACATTAATTGTATATTATTAAAGTAATTCTAAAAAGAAAAGTAATTCTAAAATACAAATTACTTATAAGTAAGTCAAAACTACATTAAAATAATGGCTCACATCTGTAATTCCCAGCACTGAAAAAGTTGAGACAAAGGATCCCTGGAGATGTACTAGCCAACCAAGTTGACTGGCAAAAAAAGTTTAGTGAGAGATTCTGTCTCAGAAAGCAAGGTGGA